ACTCCCCATGAGAAGCTATGCACTGACACCAGTGCTTAGTTCACCCATCTAAGCAATTTTGGAACTCTTTCTGGAATGGCCATCACAGCTGTCATCATTAGAATGTCAGAGTTTGAATTAGAACAAACAAATAAACAAACATTAAATTTCTTGTTAAACTTGGCAAGAGTGGAAGGGACATCAGGATCATGTTAGTCCAGGTTTATGGGGATAATGCCATGAAGAAAACAGCAGTGTACAAATGGATTAAATGCTTTTCTGAGACAAGAGAAAGCATCGCTGATAAAGAGAGGTCAGGATAGACAGTAATGAGCAGAACTGATGAAAACATTGCACAAATTCATCAAATTGTGCACCGAAATCTTTAGCTGACTGTGAGAAGCATAGAACACCACATAAACATCAGTAGAGAAACAGGAAAATCTTAACTGAAAATCATGGCATGAGAAAGGTGTATGCAAACATGTTCCCAAAGTAGTTCTTGCATCACAACAATGCACCAACTCACACAGCACTGTCTGTGAGAGAGTTTTTAGCCAGGAAACAAATGTGTTGGAACACCCTCTCTACTCACCATGCCCCCAAGGACTTTTTTCTTTACCTGAAGTTAAAGGAAGTATTGAAAGGAAGATATTTTGTTGACATTTAGGGCATCAAAGATAATACAATGACAGCTCTGATGGCGATTACAGAAACAGAGTTTCAAAATTGCTTTGATGGGTGGACTATGTGCTGGTGTTGGTGCATAGCTTCCCAAAGGGAGTACTTTGAAAGGGAGCATTGTGATATCCAGAAATGAGGTGTGTAGTACTTTTTTCTTTTCTTTTAACTTTTAATTTTTTTTATTTTAAAGATGTGGGGTACAATTCAGGGTTGAGTATACAAATGTTTATTACTCAGGTAGCCTTGTTGATGAGGTGTGCCCTCCTTCCCCAGGCAGACTCCCACTACTGCCAATCCTGCTTCCCAACCTCCCTCCCGGCAGTTTCCACTTACTGCCAATCCTTTTCTTATAGTATTACAATAATTGTTCAAGGTCCACTTATGAGTGAGGACATGTGATACTCAGTTCTTTGTTTCTGTGAAATATCACTCAATATTATAGACTCTAAGTCCATCCAGGTTGCTGTGAAGTTCATGATTTTGTTCTTCTTTATGGCGGCATAATATTCCATAGTTTAGCACTTTTTTCTAGCATGAGTTCGTGAACTTGTCAGCTGCATGTGTGTGCATGTGTATGCGTGTGTGTGTGTGTATAGACATATATGTGTATAATATAGTTCTGTGTTGCTTAATGAGGGAGATAAAATTCTTAAAAATGAGTTGGCAGGAGTTTTTATCATTGTGTGAATTAACAACCACAGAATGTAACTAATAAAACTAGAGTGCAATTAACAAAACTACATGGTAAGTGTGTGTATGAGGCAGACCCTATACACACACCTAGACTGTATGGTACAGCTTATCACTTCTATGCTATATACCTACACAGCACAATACTGTACTGAATATTGTAGACAGTTGTACCACAATGGGAAACATATAAAGTGCAGCCAAAATATGTTATTATAATCTTTTTTTTTCTTTCTTTTTTTTTTTGGTGGGGAGGTTTCTTTTCTTTTTTTTATTATTTATTTATTTTTCTATTGTGGGGTACAGTTAAGGGTTAGGTATACAAATATGCTCCATTCAGGCACCCTTGTTGATAAGAGGTGTCTCCCTGTCCCCAGACAGATATTTACTACCGTTAATCCCATCTCCCTTCCCCTCCCACCTCCATAGTTTGCCACCACTGTCAGTCATTTTCTTATAGTATTACGTTGGATGTTCAAGGTTCACGATATGAGTGAGAAAATGTGATACTCAGGTCTTTGTTTCTGTGAGGGATCACTCAGTATTATAGACTCAAGTTCCATCCAGGTTGCTGTGAAATTAATGATTTTGTTCTTTTTTATGACTGCATAGTATTCCATTGTGTGTATGTACCACATTTTTTAATCCAGTCTTCTTTTGATGGACAGCATGGTTGATTCCAGTTTCTTGCTATTGTGAACAATGCTGTGATAAACATACGTGTGCAAATATCTTTTTGATAGAGTGATTTGAGTTCTTCAGGGTATATTCCCAGTAGGGGGATAGTGGGGTCATATGGGAGGTCAATATTTAGAGCTTTTAGGAATTGCCATACTGTTTTCCACAGAGGTTGCACTAGTTTGCACTTCCACCAACAGTGGAGAAGTGTTCCCATTTCACCACACCCTCTCCAGCAACTGTTATTTTTTGAGTTATTGATAATTGCCATTCTGACTGGAGTTAGGTAGTATCTCAGTGTGGTTTGATTTGCATCTCTCTGATGATTAGTGAGATTGAATATTTTTTCATATGTCTGTTGGCTGCTCGGGTGTCTTCCTTTGAGAAGTGTCTGTTCATATATTTTGCCCACTTTATAATGGGGTTGTTTGTTTTTTCTTTTCAGCACATTTGAATTCCTTGTAGATCCAAGATGTTAAACCTTTGTCAGACCTGGTGTTGGCAAATACTTTATCCCAGTCTGTAGGCTGTCTCCCTGCTCGCTTGATGGTTTCTTTGGCTTTGCAGAAGCTTGTCAGTCTAATGAGGTCTCACTTGTCTATCTTATCTCTTATGGCCTATGGGTTTCAGGTTTTGTTCAGGAATTGGATGCCAGTTCCAATTTCCATGAGGGTATGTCCTTCATTTTCTAAGGTTCTTATGGTTTGAGGTTTTACATTTAGGTCTCTGATCCATTTGGAGTTAATTTTTGTGCATGGGGATAGATAGGGGTCCTGCCTCAATCTTCTGCATGTGGTCGGCCAGTTTTCCCAGCACCACTTACTGAATAGGTTCTCCTCTCCCCAGTGGTAGTTGGTGGAGGCTTTGTTGAAGATGAGTTGGTTGAGAAATTGAGGTTTTGCTTCTGGAATTTCAATTCTATTCCATTGGTCTATATGCCTGTTCCTGTACCAATACCAAGCTGTTTTGATTATTGTAACTTTATAGAAAAGTTTGAAGTTTAGTAATGTGATACAACCTGCTTTGTTTTTATTGCTGAGGATTGTTCTGGATATTCTTGGTCATTTGTGTTTCCATATGAATTCCTGTAATGTTTTTTCTAGGTCTGAGAAGAATGTTGCTGGTACTTTGATGGGTATTGCATTAAATCTGTAGATTGCCTTAGGTAAGATGGACATCTTCACAATGTTGATTCTTCCAATTCATGAGCATGGGATATTTTTCCACTTGTTTGTATCATCTTTGATTTCTTTGAGCAGTGATTTGTAGTTTTCATTGTAAAGGTCTTTAACATTTCTGGTTAGGAAGATGCCAAGGTATTTCATTTTTTTGGTGGCTATTGAATGGGATTGTGGTTTTTATTTGAGTTTCTGTTTGTTTATTATTGGTGTAAAGAAATGCGATTGTCTTTTGCACATTTATTTTATATCCTGAGACTTTGCCAAGGTCCTTTATCAGTGTAAGGAAGTTTTTGACTGTGTTCTCTTGGGTTTTCAAGTTACATAATCATGTCATCTGCAAAGAGAGATAGCTTGACTTCCTTTTTTCCTATTTGAATACCCCGATTGCCTTCTCTTCTCTGATTGCTCTAGCCAGGACTTCCAATACTATATTGAACAGGAGAGGTGACAGTGGGCATCCTTGTCTTGTTCCCATTTTCAGGGGAAATGGTTCCAGTTTTTGTCCATTTAGGAGTATGCTGGCTGTGGGTTTCTCATAGATGGCTTTTACTATTTTGAGTTATGTTCCCTGTTTGCCTAGGTGTTCGAGGGTTTTTATCAAGAAGGGGTGCTGGATTTTATCAAAAGCTTTTTCTGCATCTATTGATATAATCGTGGTTTTTGTTTTGACATCTATTGATGTATTTAGTTACATTTATGGTTTTACGAATGTTGAACAAGACTTGCATCCCAGGGATGAAGCCTACTTGGTCATGATGGACGATTTTTGAGATGTGTTGTTAAATCTGGTTCATTAGGATCTTGTTGAGAATTTTAGCATCTATGTTCATTAAAGATATTGGCCTGTAGTTCTCTTTCTTTGTTGGATCTTTACCTGGCTTGGGTATCAGTGTGGTGTTAGCTCCATAAAATGATTTGGGGAGGGTTCTATCTTTCTCAATTGCCTGGAATACCTTCAGTAGGATTGGTATAAGCTCCTCCTTAAATGTCTTGTAGAATTCTGCTGGAAAACCATCTGGTCCAGGGCTTTTTTTTGTAGGTAGTTTTCTTACTACATGGTCAATTTTCTTGATTGTTATTGGTGTATTTAGGGCCTCAATTTCTTCTTGTTTCAATCTAGGCAGGTTGTGTGATGACAGAAAGTCCTCCATTTCAGAAAGGTTTTCAAGTTTGTTTCCATACAAGTGTACATAGTAGTCTCTAATGATCTTTTGTATTTCTTCAGGATGAGATGTGACTTCATCTTTTGTGTTTCTGATTGTGTTTATTTGGGCTTTTTCTCTCTTTTTCTTGGTCAGTCTAGCTAGGGAAACTTCGATCTTGTTTATCCTTTCGAAGAACCAGCTTTTTGTTTCATTGATTTTTTTGTGTTGTCTTTTTGTCTTCTATGTCCTGGATTTGTGCTTTTATTTTGGTGATCTGGATTCTTCTGCTGAAATTAGAGTTTTTGTGATCTTGCTTTTTCCAGTTTCCTTAGGTGGCTTCTTAGGCTGTTAATTTGTGATCCTTCCATTTTCTTCATGTGTGTTTGTAGGGATATAAATTCCCCTCTTACCAAAGCTTTAATGGTGAACCAGAGATTTTGATAAGATGTTTAGTCATTTTCATTTGTTTCCAGGTATCTTTTAATCTCTGTTTTGATTTCATCACTGACCCAGTAGTTGTTTAGCATCATGCTGTTTAGTGTCCATTTCTTTGTGGGTTTGGGGGGGGGATCTTGTTGGTGTTAATGCTTATTTTTATTCCACTGTGGTCCAAGAAGGTGCATGGTAAAATTTCAGTCCTGCCCTTTCCCCAGCTGCCGCCAAGGTGCTCGGTTCTTCCGAGGGAGCTAAGGCCGCGTTGGGGTGAGGCCCTCACTTCATCCGGCGACTAGCACCGCGCCCGGCAGCTCCATTCCGCACTCGCCGCGCCATGGCCTCCGTGTCCGAGCTCGCCTGCATCTACTCGGCCCTCATCCTGCACGACGACGAGGTGACCGTCACGGAGGATAAGGTCAATGCTCTCATCAAGGCTGCCGGGGTGACCGTGGAACCTTTCTGGCCTGGCTTGTTTGCAAAGGCCCTGGCTAACGTCAACATTGGGAGCCTCATCTGCTCTGTGGGGGCTGGCGGGCCTGCACCTGCAGCTGGCGCTGCCCCAGCTGGGGGTCCTGCCCCCACCGCTGCTGCTGCCCCAGCTGAGGAGAAGAAAGTGGAAGCAAAGAAGGAAGAGTCTGAGGAGTCTGATGATGACATGGGCTTTGGTCTGTTTGACTAACCCTTTTATAGTGTGTTCAATAAACAGCTGAACTCTGCAAAAAAAAAAAAAAAAAAAAAAAAAAAATTTCAGTCCTTTTAAATTTGCTTATGCTTGTCTTATGGCCAAGTATGTGGTCAATCTTAGAGTACGTTCCATGTGGTGATGCATAGAATGTGTATTCTGTGGTCTTTGGATGGAGAGTTCTGTAGGTATCAATTAAGTCCATTTGATTAAGAGCCACATTGAGCTTTCGGATCTCATTGCTGATTTTTTGTCCTGATGATCTGTCTAGGGTTGTGAGTGGGGTATTAAAGTCCCTAGCTATGATGATGTTGAAGTCGATATCTTTTTTAGTTTACCTAGGAGCTGCTTTATGAAAGTTGGTGCTCCTATGTTCCGTGCATATATGTTTAGGATGGATATTTCTTGTTGATGAATTGAACCTTTTATCATTATGTAGTGGCCTTCTGTATCTTTTTCAATTTTTGATAGTGTAAAGGGTATTTTGTCTGAGATTAAGATCGCAACTCCTCCTTTCTTTTGTGTTCCATTCGCCTGAAAATTTGTTTCCCATCCTTTTACTTTGTGTCTGTGAGTGTCCTTTCTAGTGAGGTGAGTCTTTTGAAGGCAATAGATTGTTGCCTGGTGATTTTTTACCCATTTTGCCATTCTATGTCTTTTCAGTGGTGCATTTAGTCCATTCACATTCAAACTAATTATTGAGATGTGAGAGTTGATCCCTATCATAATGTTCTTACAGAGTTGTTGTTCTTCCGGTTTGTGTGTTGTCTTTCTTTTTGTTTTAGGGTTGGATCATGTGTGTTTTTAATCTTTTGCCTGTACTCTTGTGAAGAACTTTGTTCTTTTTTCCTTTTCTTCTGTGTTCAATGTTTTCTTAAGTGTTTCTTATAGAGGTGGTCTGGTGGCAGTGTAGGTTCTTAGGGATTGGATATCTGGGAAAGACTTCAATTCTCCCTCACTGATGAAGCTTAGCTTGGATGGGTAGTTTATTCTGTTGAAATTGCTTATCTTTTAGAACTTTAAAGATAGGGCTCCAAGCTCTTCTAGCCTGGAGGGTTTCTGTAGATAAATCTGCTGCTATTTTAATTGGTCTTCCCTGGTAGGTAGTTTGACCTTTTTCTCTTGCAGCCTTTAGGATTTTTTCTTTTATACCTACTTTGTTTAGGTGAATTTTTATGTCTGGGAGTTGGTCTTCTCATTTGTTGTCTTACAGGGGTTCTCTGAATCTCTTATGTTTGATTTTTTTCCTCCTTGATTAGATGAGGGAAGTTTTCTTGAATGATTTCATGAAATATCTATTCCAGTGTGGTCTCTGTTTCTCTCCCTGCCTCAGGAAGGCCAATTACTCTTAGGTTCAGTCTGTTGAAGTGGTCATTCATCTCTTGAAAGTTTTGTTCTGTCTTTTTGAGCTTCTTTTCTATGCTTTTGACAGTTTGGGTTAGTTCTGTGTTTTGGTCTTCGAGTTCTGAGATTCTTCCTTCTGCTTGGCTAATTCTGCTTTCCATGGTTATTAGTTTGTTATTTATTTCCATCACAGTATTTTTTACTGCTGTTATTTCTGACATAAGCTTCTTTCTGTTTTCCTCTTGTCTCTCCTCAATTTTTTAAATTCTCTCTATTAATGTCTTGATGTCTGGGTTTGTTGCATGTGACCAGTCATTCTGGGGGCTCTTCATTGTTTGTGTTCTGGAATCTGTTTTCCCAGTGTCTGATCTCCCAGAGGTCTCTGTGAGACCTATATTATTCTTTTGGTTTTTCTTCATTTGTGCAGTTTTTCCCCCTCCCTACTTTTTCCTTCCCTCCACGTCACCGGTTTCTTTAATTATGTTATTCAGGTTTGGAGGGGTTGTTTTTACTTCTGTTTGTTCAATCTCCTATTCTTGTTTATGTGTATCCTCTTACTTTGTTCAATTCTGGAGTTGCACTGTAGGTTGGGGGTGGTCCTTTTTGGAGTTTTGAAATTTACTTAAGGGGGAAGCTATGATTCAAAATCTATCTGCAGGTCCTTGTATCCACCAACAGGTGTATGAATAATCTGAAGCCCACTTCCCACTGCCTTTGAATCTGTCTGTGCAGTGGGGCTGTAGGTTTACTCCCTGAAAATAAAATGCAGTTAACAGAGGGAAGAGAATGGAGCAGGCAGTGGGGGGGAGGGAGAGGGGGGTGGAGAGAGAGAGGGGTAAGGGTGAAAACAGACAAGTGTACCAACAAATGAAGAGAGAGACAAAAATTGAAACATTTAAAAACAATAGACCACGGCTACAAACTAACCAACTCCCATACAAAAAAAACCTAAAACATACAATGTTGCTAACATACAAGTTTACCAACCTCCTTATTGGTGTGCTATTCCTCTATACAAAGATATGGTTACATAGAGAAGAAAATAAAAGAAGGAAAAAGAAGGAGAAAAAAGGGGGGGCAACAAAACAGAAGGAAAAGAATCAAGTCTGTAGACTAACAGAACCAATCAAGGACACTCTGAGACTTTTCGTTTAAGTTGAATGTCCTTTCAGCTCTGATTTCTAGCTGTCTTTTCAAGCTAGTAAGTTTCTTCAAGGTTAGGATCAGTTGCCCCTGGCCTGCTGTGAAGGGCAGTTCAGATCATCACTCAGTTCCCCACTGCCCGGTTCACTACTCAGATCTGACCTGTGTCTGTCAGGCTTCCATTTTTCCCCTTTCGGTGTTATTACCTTGAATCGCCAGCAGGGGGTGTTATCCCTTGCAACAGATGGTCTTTATCTCAGCTGCTTGCCCGCCCCTAAGGGGAGGGAGATGTTGCCTGGAGGCACACAGGGGGAGACTCACGGCCTGGCAGGACATCCAGTTGTAGTAGACCTCAGCAGATCTTGTGCACAGGGGCTTCAAGGTCTGAAGTGGCGGATCGCCTCAGGCATGGGCCGTACGATGTGGAATGGCTGTTGTGGTGGTGGCGGCAGCAGTGGTGGTGGCGGCTGGCCTCAGGCACAGGCGCAGAGATGTGTAATCGCTGCCTCGGAGGCAGCGGTGGCGGCAGCAGCGGTGGCGGCGGAGGCGGTGGCAGCTCTCCTCAGGCACTGGCGGTGCAATGTGGAATGGCTGCCGGCTGTGGTGGCAGCTGCAGCAGCGGCAGCCACAGTAGCTGCCCGGACCGCCGTGATGCCTCAGAGAGGTCTACAGCTGAGCTCTGAGTGAAGAGCAGGCTGCCAACCATGGGATCTGTAGCCTCTGGGGAGAGAACCAGAGTCTCTTTGTGATCCCCTCAGTGGAGAGTGTCACAGACCGAGCTGCCCCGTCGCCATCTTGCCAGAAGTCCTATCTTTTTTTTTTCCTTTTTGAGTTGGAGTCTCCCTCTGTCACCCAGCATGGAGTGCAGTGGCTGCTCCTGGCCACCGCAGCCTCAACCTGCTGGGCTCAGGCAATCCTTCCGCCTCAGCCTTCCAAGTAGCTGGAACTACAGGCACGTGCTACCACAACTGGCTAGTTTTTTGATTTTTTATAGAGATGAGGTCTCACCAAGTTGCCTAGGTGGGTCTCGAACCCGCGGGCTCAGGCAATCCACTCACCTCAGCCTCCCAAGGCGTGGGATTATAGGCTGAGCCACCGAGCCCGGCTGGTATTATAATCTTAAAGGACCACTGTTGTATATGCTGTTTGACTAAAACATGATATGCGGGGCATGACTGGATATATCAATATATATTTCCAATGCTGTAGACACCAATATATGTTCCCGTATATTACATGTAATATATATTTCACATATAAATATACATTTATATGTTCATATTGTGATGAAACTTCATTGTAGTTGAAAATGTGTAGAAAGTGCTAAAAGGGGAGAGTTCTTTTATTTTCAGTTTGATCAGTGGATGATTGTGAGGTCTTTTTGTTTTGTTTTGTTTTTTAATCCTATATGACAGGAAACTACTATCATCTACAAACAGTATATGAAAACAAAAATGTGATGGTAAATTATATGTGTTAACCAGATCAGCTAAAAAAAATTGCCCACAGAATTGCCAAAATATGTTTCTGGGTATGTTTGTGAGGATGTTTCTGAACGAGATTAGCTCTTGAATCTGTAGCCTTCACCAATATGGGTGGGTATAGCCAATCCATTGAGGGTCCAGATAGACTAAAAAGGGTACAGAAGGATGAATTCCCTTCACATTCTAACCTTTCTCAATCTGGGACATCTAATTTTTTACTACCTTTAAACATTGGAGTTCTGTTTCTCGGGCTGTCAGACTATGGGACATAGTGCACTGGCCCCATTTATCAAACCTTTGAACTCTGGGAGTTTCACCATCAACTCCTGTGATTCTCAGGCCTTTGGACACAGACTGAGTGAGACCTCTGGCTTTCATGGTTCTCCAGTTGTAGATAACAGATCAAGGGACTTTTTGACCTCCATAATCACATGAGCTAATGGTTATAGTATATATTTTACTATGTTTGCTTCTCTGAAGAATCCTGAGGAATATATGAGGTAACTGAAATTTTCCATAGTCGTGGTATGGTATTACTTTGGAATTAAGTAAAATCTCCTGCTCTGGAATACTTGTTGCAAAAGGAGAGGGGAAAAAAAAAAAGAAGAAGACTTGGTCTGATTTAGAATGACGTGTCCAAAAGATCCTTTAAGATTGAAGACTATTTCCTCAAGTAAAAAGAAAAGGAGACATATCATGAGATGGAAATAAACTGATTTCATTCTCTCAAGGGTTAGTCAATTAGATCTATGTCTCATGTGCATAGAAGTGGCAATTAAATTGATAAGAGTAGGTGACAACACTGTTCAAACCACTAAGTCTATCAGCTCTGTCTCGAAGTCAAATAGATCAGTCCTTGCCTTAGTGAGAAATAGTTTATTTTCTTTCAATAGCTTGTACGTTATTAAAACAATGCTTTCAGGGCCTAAATTTTCCTGAAGTATATTTCAACATAAATATCATTTTGCTCATGTCACTATTCTAATGGTCTGCTGCTTTCCATTTTCCTTAACAATAACCCACATTTTGTACTTTTACTAGTCAATTTAATTTTGTTCTAAATAGTTATCATGTACCAAAAAATGAACACAC